TCTCACACATGTGTGAAGATGTGTGTCCCTGTGGGAGAGAGAGCGCACAGGAGGGACTCTTGAAGACCAGCAGGGTCCCTTCTGACCTCTCTGGAGGTGTAGGCAGACTTGCCTGCACTCAAATCACCTGAGCCAGCCACCCCTCAGAACCCAAGTGGCGCACCTCCCCAATGCTAGGGAGTCCGCGTGCTAATAAAAAGTTGTATGGGGGCTGAGTGTCCGGCCCAGGCTTTGGTCCTACACATTAGTGGCGCATCCCTGAACCCCTGTGTTGGCTTCACAAGGGACCAAAGCTTCTAGGAAGCTCCAAGGGTGGGACTCCTGGGAAAACAAAGACCAGGCCAGACTGCCCAGGGCAGGGACACTTCCTTAGGCAGCCAGCAGGAAGGAAGTGAGCACAGCCCAGCCGGATGGAGTGGGGAAACACTGCCCTGATGCATCTATTGTTTATAGCTTTGGGGTCAGCGAAGCAGGTCCAGAACAGGGAGTTCCCCCCAGGCAGGATGGTGGCGGTGGGAGATAGGATACTGTCTGATATGGGGAGCCTTGGCCTCTGAACAGGAGGCGTGCTATAGGGGATGGAAGTCATTTTACAGAACTGGAAGTCTAGGCTACACAGGGTGATCCTACTCAAGACTTGACAAGTTCCAGCCCCCGAGCAACTCGAAGACCAACTGCCCTGACTCTGGGTTGATGAATTCCTCCTTCCTAAAGTTCTTGAGCTTAATGGCCACAGGCCAGGCCTAGCAGAGAGGCAGATTGTCCCCTGGCAGCAGAGAGCTGACCATGCACAAGGGACAGAGCCTAGCGAGAGAAGCTGCAACAGAGCTGAGCTCATCCCTCCAGTTGTTACCTGGGAAGAGTCAGGTGTGTGTGGACTCCAGAGCCTGGTAGGAGGCCAAGGGCATGGTGGGAAACTTTGAGGGCCATGGGGCTTAAGCTGTAACCTCACTTGAGATAATATATTACTGCTGGGACCAGAACTATCCCACAGCTATGTATGGTCACACTCACCCCTTAGGCAAGGCAGCTAGGCAAATCTGAAGAGTTTCAAGACCTATTTCCCCTCCCAGTCCCAAACAAGGTGAGGCAGGTGAGTGGCTCCCAGGGCTGGAGATGGTGTGTGAACATAGCCACCTGTTGGCCAGGGCTGGTATTGCTAGAGGCAATGTTCAGACTTACAGGCTCTTAGAGGGGGCTTGCCAGCCTGGCAGAGTCCAGGGCCAGAGGCCTACCTGATCAGTTCAAGTGGTAGTCTAGAAATCGGGTCTTAAAGCCTCACTGGAAGACACGCTCATGTGCAGGGTCTACAAATAATTTTATTGAAATTGAACAAATAACACAACAGTCTTCCTATGCTGGGGACCACCCTCCCCAAGCCATTTCCCATACTCTAGACGCCCAGAGCGTCTACAAACAATGATTATTTTTAAAAGCCATCTCTATATAATAATCAAACTCTGCCCCAACATCATCATAGTCTATTTACAAACCTTCACATTTGAATTACTTCTTTATGTGTTTTTCCCTTCTTTTGATCCTTACCAAGGAGCTCCAGTATTTTCCCTTAACTGACCCTGAAGTAGTGAAGATACTATAGGAGAAGGGGTGATGGGCTCCTCATAGCTACTGGCTGCTTCTGACCACTGGGTGGTGAACAGCCCCTCCCCGACAGCTGGGGATGGGCGGGACTGCTGGCGCAAAGACAAGGGACATTAGACAGAAGACGTGGTTCGGGGCAAGTCCCCACAGGCACAGGCGTCCGTAGCCTGTCCTGACCCCGGCCTGCACCCTTTCAACTTGGGGGAGGGCACCTGGGAGAAATCAAGAGAGATCAGTCCAGCCCTGGGCGAAAGGAGCCTCCCACACTAGTCCCCATTCTTACTTAACGGCCAGCAAACTGTCCATCTTAGAGCGGGAACGAGTGGCAGGGAGGCAGGAAGAACGAGGCTAGCACTATCCCCAGTCTCTGTCCGACACAGGAGGAATCGAGGTAGCAAACGGCTGAATGCTCTGACTAGGGGAAGGGAAGTGAGGGGGAGGTCGCTCCCACGTGGGTCCAGCCCCCACAGCCCAGGGGCCGGAAGAAGGCAGACTCTGCTTGTAAAGTGCTGGGCCCTAGGCAAGCTTGGAAGAAAGCAGGTCAGGCAAGGAACTAGGAACCAGGCATTCCTGACCAGCATGTGTCCTGCCATGCTTCTTGAAGAAGCGGCTGGGGGAGATGGGCTGGTAATTCTGTCATTGGCCCCCACCAGCCACCAACCACTTACTGTTCAGACATAAACCAATACCAGTTAACACTGAGGGACTGCCCCTTAACAACTGAAGGTTCTGGGCCAATGGAGTTGAGTTTATTCAGGGTTGTGGCACCAGCCTGGACTCCTGAACGGAAGCTACACCTTGAGCCTGGGAGTTTCTTGCTGGGGCAGTGGGTGCTTGTGTCTGCCATGCCACAGGCTCACACTTCATAGAGGATCACGGGGAAATCCACGTGGATTCGGGGGGGATCGAGCTTCACGATGCCCTGATGTGGAAACAGAGGCGAGTGAAGATGAGCTCAGAGCCTCTGTGCTAGGAGCCTTCCCGATATCCCCAGCTCCTCCCCCAGTAAGTTCCAGCTGTATCTATGTGGACATGCCCAGCACCTCACCTGAGGAATCAGATTCTTATGTACCCGCCTCAGCTTGGCTCGCTTCTGCCCATTCTTGGTGACGATTGTCTCCTCATAGAACTCGTGAGCCAGATCCCCGTCTTCATCATAGAACATGGAGCTGTGTAGAGAAGGGAACAGGCTGGGTTGGAGCCTCACACCTGGTCATGGCAAATGCCCCAGACCACAGGGAAGTGTGCTGAACCCCAGATGAAGAGACACAATCTTAACCTTGGTGGAAGAATAGTAGGCATGAAGAACTCTCTGCTTGGAGTCATTAGAAGGACGCAGAAAGTGCATCAATGCCACTGATAATGTCACACCAACAAGAGGTCACAGCAGAGCACACTGTCTCATCAGCGGTCTGATCCACAAGGGGAAACTAGCCAGAGGCAGGCCCTTCACCTAGAGCTTATAAAGTGGGTGGGAACTGGCCTGGGCACACTAATCTCACTTCTAAAGACACTGCTAGTTCAGGGTAAAGACCAAGACCGCAGATGTCTGAGCCAGGAAGGCTGCGTTCCCACTCATTCCCAAGTGGTTGGTACAGCCTCATCTGCACTGCTGGTTGGGTCTTTCTGGTGTTTACTGGCAAATTCCCATCCCAGGGAGTGTCGGTCCCTAGGAGCCCTCGAGGTCCAGACCGTTTTGTGTGAGTCCCTGGGGAAAAATGGTTAGTGCTCCAGGTCTAGAGAACCCAACTGGGCGAGGGCCTCTTTTTGGGTGGCCTCACCTTCAGCACTGAGGCCTAGCAGATTTACAGACACTACTCTCAGAGGTCCACCTTCACTGTGGGGAGGGCAAGACACCTAAGCAGAAGATCATTTTCCGTTCTAAGGCTTGGAAGAATAGGAGGTACATAAATGCCTTTAATTTGCAGGTTGAATTGGATGAAACGAAGATCTTAAGACTCTCGGACACCGTCTTTGCGGGATTATGGGGGAGCTTTTACCCAAGGGACAAGACTCAGCCAACTCTTCTCTAAAAAAAAATCCTGGGCAGACAGGAGCTGAATGCCACTTGGTTTTCCCCACCCCTTGCTCTGATGGGGATCCAAAACATGACAGTCCTCCTGATTCAAACGTGCGGGGGGGGGGTGGGGGTGGCGTTCCTCGTTCCCGGATTTCCTCCCCAAGGCAGATACCCATGCCCTTACCCACGGCGCGTGAATACGAAGGGGGGCACCGCTCGGGCTCGAGACCGCACCAAAGATTGCTCAGCGCCTGCCGCCTCAGGGCCGCCGCCCCCCGTAGCGGAGGCAAAGGGCCAGAGGCCCCGGGCTTTGGAGCCGCTGGCGCCCATGTCAGCGCCGTCGGCGCATGGCGGACCCAGCGGCCGCTCCGCTCTCACAGTACGGCGAGCGCGACCATGCCCTGCCCCAGCCTCCACTCGCAGGTGCCGCCGCCGCCGCCTTCCGCAGGCTCTGCTGTCTCCACGGAAACCTCACTTCCGCTTCCGCACACCCCGCACGCTGCCTCCTCTGAGTGGCTCAAGATCTCGTCAGTCTGTAAACTAGAACCAATGACCACCCTCAGAGACCGAACAACCCAGGATGCGCTGCCTTCCAGGTCCCAGAAGGCAATGGGTCCCTAGGGTCAGCTCCCTCCCCGAAAAGCGTTGGTAATGTGTTGTTATGGACTTTAAGGTCGGGTCAGGTATGACTGTTCCAAAGTCCCTGCCGCTCGACACTGGAGCCTAGTGGCAATACTCAATTAGGTCACTTCTCCAACCCCCGAAGAGACCTTAGGTCTGCCTCAGGCTAGGATATTTAGGTTGTTTTCACCTTTGCACGTAAAGAAATTAAGGAGCTTGCTCAATGTCTTGTATTTTCTTTTATTGAGACAGTGTCTCACTATGTAGCCTCAGCTGGCCTGGAACTTCTGCGTAACAGGCTCGCCTCAAAGTCATGTCCACCTGCTTCTGCCTAAGGGCTGGGATTAAAGGAGGGAGCAATTATGCAGGGGGCCAAATATCTTCAAAACCTTTGTGAACAAATTTCTTATGACTATATTTGAGTAAATATAGTCATTCACCAGATAACAGCCTTTAGGAGACCCGGACTTGTTCCCAACTGTACCCTGTGAAATGTGTCTATGAAGGGGTTACTGCCCTCTGAGGTGGTGTGAGAAAATGGTTTCCCTGTGCTCTAACTGAAGCTTATTCCTGTCTCCACCATGACCTGGGCCTCACAGTGTTGAAAGACACCCGAATCCAGAGGCTTACATCTCCTCAACATACTGGTCCCACTGTGAGCTGGGAAAGATGCACTCTGTGTGCCAACCACTGTTGGCAGTCATTCCCATTAGGTGCTTCCTGACTGGGGCCCACATCCAGAGAGTCCAAAACCAGAAAAATTCGTCAATCTTTATTCAGCCAATTCTCTCAGGCATCAGGCCCTGATGATGACTGTCACACCCCCATCCCTTTCCCCACAGGAGGCATTCAGTTGAGGCCACAAAGCATTGCATACATTCATACACTTCCATCAAATGTATCTGAGGGAGACTCTGGCTTTGGCAAACAAGAAGTGGGTCTGGTCCAGCAGCATCGTCCTTAGAGAATGAACTGAGGCATAGGAGCTATACTTGCCAGCCCTCCCTGACCTCAGGGTTATGTGTCAAAGTCATAAGGCACTGGAAGAGGGAAACACAGACTCCATCTGAATGTCTGTATTATTCTGAGCAGTTAACCTTGGCTCTGATTGGGCTATCCTGAGACTTATTCACGACTCAAAACAATCTTTCTCCATAGACTCGGGCCCCCACCCCTACAAATATAACCTCGTTGTGTTTGTAGAGTCTCTAAGATTCTCACGGCTGAGACCCTGATCAAAGACTGGAGCAGCTACCCAGAGCAGGACCCCAGTACACAATGGGCAGAGGGCTGCAAGCCACGCCCCACTGTATCCACTGGTAGAGGGCAGGCTGTGGCACTGTTCTCTGGGCTCCTCCCTTTAGCAGAGGAGGGCTTCCACGCACACTCATTCCGCAGGCCCCATGGGCCCTGTCACACTCACACGGCACGATCTTCGCATTGCCTATTTTCCTCCTGCTACCCAGGGAAACGAAAGGTCACCCCAAAGGGCAAGCATGCAAGGCTTCCTGAATCTTCTGGCGGCAACGAGAATACTTCTGCAGAATCTGTCGAAGGTGTTCCTCTTCTTCCCGCTGCAGGATACGTAGGAAATTGTGCAGCTCAGGCATGCTGAAGGCATCCCACTGCAAAGGGGCAGAGGAGAAAGATACTGGGCTATGGCAGGAAATGGCTAAGTTAGCAAACCCTTCTCAAAAACTAGTGCCTCACGGTCACACACCTTAGGACTGGGCTTCTGGATAGTACCACCTCCCTTTTCATTCCCCAGCCTTACCTGTTTTGGTTTTGTTGTTATTGTTTTTAATTATTTTATATGTATGAGTGTTTTGTCTGTATATGTATGTATGTGCATCATGTGTATGCCCGATGCCACATGGAAGTCAGAAGAAGGCATCAGATCTCTGGGGACAGGAGTTACAGATGGTTGTGAGCTGTCGTCACCTAGGTGCTGGGAATCAAACCCAGGTCCTCTATAGGAGCAACATGTGCTTATCTTAACCATTCAGCCAAATCTTCAGACCCCTATTTTGTTGTTTTTTTGAGTCACAGTCTTGCTGCCTATCAAAGGCTGGCCCTGACATGCTATGTAGCTCAGGTTAGTCTCAAAGTTGTGATTCTCCTGTCTCTGTTTCCTGAATGCCATGATTATAAGTCTGGATCACAATGCTAGGCTAAGTAGTCTGTTCTAGAATCCTCATGAGCAGTCTGCACGGAAGACAGATCCTACACAACAGTCACCTCATAGAGAGACAGCAAATCAGGATGTTCCCAAATAGCTGCTATTGCGTGGGCCCCTCCAATACAAACCCAGGGTCTCATAAATGTAAACAAACTACATTTTCTTTACTCCAAAGCTACATTCCCAGGCAACCTGCTCACCCCCTGCTTCTTTTCTCTTTTTCTGCTGCTGGGTTTTATGCATACTAAGCATATAATCTTAACCACTGGGCCACACACTAACCCCTAGGTAAAAAGTCTTTTCTTTTGCATTACTAGGAGTTGAATTGTGCTGGCTAGTTTTAGGTCAATTTGACACAAACTAGAGTTAACCTGAAAGGAGGAAACCTTGAGAAAAAGCCTTCATAATATCCAACTGTAAGGCATTTTCTTAATTAGTGATTAATTGACAGGGCAGGGTTCAGCCCATTGTGGCTGGTGCCATCCCTGGGCTGGGGATCATGGATGGGTTCTATAAGAAAGCAGGCTGAGGAAATCATGAAGAGCAAGCCAGTAAGCAGCACTCCCTCAATGGCCTCTGCATCAACTCCTGCCTCTAGGTTCCTGCCCTGACTTCCTTCAATGATAGGATTATGATGTAGAAGTGTAAGCCAAATAAATCCTTTCCTTCCCAACTTGCTTTTGGTCACAGTGTTTGATCACAGCAAAAGAAACTCTAACTAAGACATGAACCAAGGGCATCCAACATGTTAAGCATCTTACCGTTGAACTATAGCCCCAAGTCTTCTTACTTTTTGAGATAGTATCTCACTAAGTTAACCCAGACAGGTCTTTAAGTTACTCTGTAGCCCAGGATGGCTTTGAACTCGTGAGCCTTCTGCTTTAGCATTCCAAGTAGTTGAGATTACAGGCTGGTAGTAGTAGGCCTTGCTAGAAGAGTATTTTTTTGTTGTTCATACAAATAAAAATTGTTTTATGTGTATAAGTGTTTTGCCTGTAGGCACATATGTGCACTGTGTGCGTGGTCTATGTGGATGCTAAGAACCTAATGCAGATCCTCTGCATGATCAATAAGTGCTTTTAATTACTGATCCATCTTTCCAGCCCCATTGTTTTAATTCTGTGTATGTCTGGGTCTGTGTAGAGGTTATGTGCACATAAGGACAGGTACCCTGCCGGGCAGTGGTGGCACAGGCCTTTAATCCCAACACTTGGGAGGCAGAGGCAGGCGAATTTCTGTGAGTTCGAGACCAGCCTGGTCTACAAGAGCTAGTTCCAGGACAGGCTCCAAAACCACAGAGAAACCCTGTCTCGAAAAACCAATAAATAAATAAATAAATAAATAAATAAATAAATGACCCCCCCCCCCCAAAGGACAGGTACCCTCTGAAGCCAGAGGAGGAAGTCAAATCCTTTGGAGGTGGAGTTGTAGGTGAAAGTGGGCCACCTAACATGGGTGCTTCAAACAGAAGGGAGTCCTCTGAAAAAGCAGCAAGTACTCTTAACTGCCGAGCCATCTCTCAGCCACACCTGTGTAGCTCTGAACTTGTTCTTGGCTCACCATGAGTCAATCAAATCCCACACCAGGAAACAAAGAACCAGAACAGTTCTTCTAGCTTGTTTTTGTGGCCCAGACTGACCCCAAACTCCTAGCAATCCTCCTGTCTCAGCCTCCCAAGTACCTCTATTACAAACATGAACCACTAGATTCAGCTTCTTCCTAAGGATCTAGACCTTGGTTCCAGTGTCCCGGAAGCCTATACTTTCATTCCAGGGCCTGTATATTCTTGGAGACATTGTGCAGGGTTTGTTCTGTAGCTCCAGTTTCTCCTGAAACCTTCACTATAGCTACAACCTACTAGCTTTGTCTGGTGATAAGAAAAAAAGACGATGTACTCACATTCACCTCTCCAGAATCATTCTCTTTCAGGACAAAGCTCAGGGCCTTCTCACTAGGCCCTGCAAGAAGCCGTAGCTTCAAGGGCTGCTCATCATCTGATAGTTTCCGGAAGTACACTGGAGATCAGGCAGAGCAAAAAGGATAAAGAATTAGAAACAGGCTCAGATGCCCCAGCCTCTGAATGTACAGGCACGTGATACAGACCCCTTACGCAGGAAGAGCTGGGATAGGAAACCTACCTTGGCCATGACGTTCGGTTCGTTCAAAGAGTGCAAACTTGCGAGGATCATCCACTACCATGAATTTTCGCAGCAAGGCCTCAATGACCTCACGTGCCCGTGTTCGTGACAGAACATGCAAGTGCTTAATAGCATCCTTAGGCAAGTAAAAGGAGGTGCGGCGCTTCACAGCTGTGCTCCGCCCTGTGCCCCGCCGGGCGTCCTGTAAAGAAGGTGGTTTCTTGCTGGAAGGCACTGAGACAGGACGTACCAGTTTCAGCTGAACCTTGATGAAGCCTGTGTAGGAGCCATCCTTGTTCTAAAAAAGAGAAAAAGAAAATCCACACCATGACAGAAGTTCTAGTAGAGAAGGAAGAGGGCAGGGTTGAGTTTACCTGGGGTGGGGCCAGGTGTGCACAGATCACTGCTTGAGTCAACCAAGAATACTTTGGCTATGACTCTGGCCATCTGGCACAAAACTGGGTTCTGTTCCGCCCCACACGCCTCACCTGAGCAGCCAACTCACCAGGCTCATGAAGAGGTTGCTGTTGATCTGGCCATTGTAATCCTTGATCTTCTGCTCAGTCTCAGCCTGGGAAAGATCAGGTGTCTCCCGCTGTGCAGGCTCGTCCTAAAAGACAGATCAGCATGGATACAGGGCCCTTGAAAAGTGCAAGGCTTATTTGGAGAAGAAAAAAACAGCCAGAACATTCCTTGGATCTTGATTTTGGTCCTGTCACTAAATCCATACACCCTGACCCCATCACTGCTCCATTTTGCATGCTATAGATGGAGACGGCAAAAGAAAGGGAGGATCATTTGGCTTCCTGCTATTTGGGATGGGAGTCACCTCAGCACTGATTGTGTGTGGTCCCTAACAACATTACAGAAACAAAGACAAATAAAGGTGCATGGCAAAGGGCCAGGAAAACATGAAGGACTATTAGGGAGAATTGTTGTTTAAAGTAAAAACACTTCTTGGGGAGTACTTGCCTAGTATAAGAGAGACCCTTCAATCCCCAGTATTACCCCCACCCCCACCCAAATAAAATTAAAACCACATCTCAACTGCATAGCTGGTCCCAGAACACTAGTTGGGTCAGAGTTTGTTCTGGAGAAGGGAGGCCACTCTTCCACTTTGCACCAGCACAGAACATGAGCACCACAGGGTCGGAAGCAGGGGAGCTGATAAACATCAGTAGTCAGGAGGGGAAAGGTGATCTCCATTGGGTTAACATGCCTTAGGAGGTTTCTTGGGCACATCCCATGTAGGGAAGAAATCACTGTGACTACCACTGATTTACCTTTGACTCAGGCTGCACAAAAGGCAGCTTCAGGCCAGGCTCCAATCCTGCCAGAGGTGTATAGGCAACTTTCCATTAGCAGCTGTCCTACCAGTGCCAAGCATGTAGGCTGTCCTTCCCTTGCTGTCTGGAAACTTAGCCTGAAGACTAGCTCTTTAGGGACTGGGTTTTAGCTGGAAAGGTGGAGTGTGGGTTACAACAGTTAGGACTTGAATTAGTTTTCCTCTACCAAACTTACTTGGCCTCACTGCCTCAGTCTAACTTCCTGTTGACATCAGAGAGGTCCTGGAGAATGCGATTGGAACAAACACAGCTAGGATTGCTACTGACCAACGCCTCATCCCAGGAGTTCTCACAAGGTGTCAGCTAGGGATGAACCCACAGCCTCACACATGCTGGGCACTGAACTCAGTCACTGAACTCTAACCCCAGCCCTCATGATTTTACTTTACTTCTCAGCTTCCATCTATCCATCTACCCACCTATTTGGTTCATTAATGGTGTTGTGGATGGAAGCCAGGCCACCATACAAGGTAAGCACTCTCCAAACTTAGCTTGCTACAGACTTCAGCTGCTTTTAAACAATTATTTTCTTTATATACCTTTCAACCGGCTAGCACCTTGTGTTTTTTTTCCCCACCTTTCCATAATAGAAGATGACTCAGGCTGAGAGACATGGAGACAACCTCAGGGGTCCACACTGAATCTACAGTCTGGACTAAGGTTTTTGGGGTGTCAAGTAGCAGCCCATCTTTAAGATTTTTTTTTTTTTTTTTTTTTTTTGCTTTGGTTTTCGAGACAGGGTTTCTCTGTGGCTTTGGAGCCTGTCCTGGAACTAGCTCTGTAGACCAGGCTGGTCTCGAACTCCCAGAGATCCGCCTGCCTCTGCCTCCCGAGTGCTTTAAGAAATTTGTATTGCTGAGCCGTGGTGACTCACACTTTTAATCCCAGCACTCGGGAGGCAGAGACAGGCGGATCTCTGAGTTCGAGGCCAGCCTGGTCTACAAGAGCTAGTACCAGGACAGGCCCCAAAGCTACAGAGAAACACTGACTCGGAAAAAAAAGAAAAATTTGTATCAACTCTCTCCTACAACACCACAGAAATTTTTTTTTGGCTCGGATAAGGAATTCTACTTCGCTGCTGCTAAGTTTACTAACCTTCACTTTACTAATAAGTCTTCACTACACTCTCCTGATGACCCAGCCTCTGCGCTCTTCTGAGGTATTATGGCTCAGAACAAGTTATCTGAGCTTAGTGGTCACAACCACTATACTCCCAGAAAAATCTCTGGTAATTTGGCACATCTAGGAGACTCGAGGAACGTTCAGCTGCCCTGGTACACACACTTTAAATCTTAGGTAGAAACCCTTCTCGGGGCATTTTATAGTCTTCCTGCTCCCTAAGGGACTAGGAATGCTCCTATTAAGGTCCACAGCAAGGGCCCTCTTACTAGACTCCCCAACCCCCCACCAAAGTTTCACTCGGGAAGGAAGATCGGAAAATCGTCTACATTCCAGCAGCTGGTGTCAGAGTTGGCCCAGCAATGGCTGCGAACTCTTCTGGCTGATCCAAGACTGCAAATGGAAGGGACAGAGTCACCTCCGAAACAAACTTCTCACTTCCCGGCGGACTCCTCCTCCACTTCCTTATTTCCCCCAGGAAGGGAGTAGGAGAGCCCAAATGCGAAATCAAGACGCCGGTTTGGGCTGAGGCTGGCTTTAATCATGGGTGAATACGCCCGCCTCTGGTCCACCCAAACTTCAGAGCTGCTTCTTCCCCTGGCTCAACCGGTCTGTGACCGCAAGCCAGGGAAGCCTGGGGACTCAGTACCGGCGCGCTGGAATCGAGCTTCTTTCTACCCGGAGCAGAGGGAGCCCAAAACACATCCCGGCCGGTTTTCGTGTGGACCCGCCGGGAGGCTGCCTATCAACTAACTCTCCAGGCCGCAACTTAGCGGGGAAGGGCAGGATTGGAGCAACCGCCCCTCGCCCGCCGGCGACAGCCCCCACCCGGCTTCCCACCTGGTCCCGGCGCGGCCTGCGGACCAGAGAGGTCCGCGCCGTGAAGTACTGCTCGAGCTCCGAGTCCGAGTCCTCCTGGCTGCAGTAGCCACTGCTCGTCGTGCTGCTCCAGGTCATTTCGAAGGAAGGCGTCTCGGCCTCGCTCATCGCCCTGCCCGCCCGATCCCTAGTCCACTGCGTGGGGAGTCTCCAACCACCGCCCCGAGCGCGTGCGTGCGTGTGAGCGAGTCAGTACGCGCTTGCGCTGAGACCTGCGCCGCGCGGCGACCGTTAGGACTGCAAACGTAGACGACTAAAAACCTAGTGCTGGAGTCGTTTGGGGGGCGACGGGCTGGGGAACGCCGAGGGGCGGGGACACCACGCTACTACTCGAGGAGTGACCTCATCGCTGAGGCATCTCAACTCGGCTCCGCCTCTCGGGCCCCACGTCCCCGGGGGAGGCGGCAGGGCGTGTGCACATGCGCACCGATGTTGCCCCAGGGCCGGAAGCGGAGTGTGAAAAGTGCGCGCGCACCGTGCCAGGGCGCGCCTTCGCGGCTACTGGTTTGCGGGCCGTAGTTTTTGCGTGGGGTAGGCTCCTGACAAACCCACAAGCAGAACTAGCCTCTCTGATGCCGGGAAGTCGGTAATTGGGATGTTCGTTGTGTACGGCGCCGGGACTAAGCCCGGGGCCCCTCCCTGCCCACACTCCCCGGACCCCGAGCTCACCACGTTCGTGTCCCTTTCCAATGCGGGGTCCCAGCCCAGGTCTCGGGGCCCGCAGCAGTCCAGGCAGACGAGCGCACGACAACGGTAATGGCAGGTGAACTTGCAGTCTGCAGAAAGGGCTGGCCGTGAGGCGGAGGAGCTCGGCGAAGTGACCCACTGACAGGGGGCCTCCGCCCGACACATTTGGGCTTGACTGGCTTTTTCTCAAGCTCGGTTACCGCCCACGCAACACAGATTCTAAAGTCGTCGGTCCGAAGCACCTCTGGAAACCGGCTGGAAGGCCTTAGGCGGTTAGAGATCTAACCCTGCTAACACTAAGCTAACACCCCGAGCTACTACAGCTCCTGGCCATTAACTTGAAAACAAAAGCGCTTATTTACGACTTCCTCTGTTTGCCATCTACCTTTTCATTTGTTTACACAAGCCTATTTTGCTTTTTGAGAAAGGGTCTCCTGTAGTTTAGGTTAGCCTCAAATGGTAACCTTGAACTCGGTGATCCTCCTGCCTCTACCAACTTCTCCAGTGCCAGGATTAACAGATTTGTGCCAATGCCCAATGCCACATCTAATGTTTGGCCTCTGTCCACATTACTGGGATTACTATATCCTTAACGTTGGTTGCTTACTCCCTTTGGCTCCCAGGGACAGCACTCACTAGCCAGGTTTCCTTCTCCATAGCCCCTTCCTCAGCTCTGTCAACTCCCAGGTCTAAGAGTTGATGTCCAAGTTTCTCACCTGGGTACTGTCCCAGCTCTGTCTACAACTCACCTGTTCCAGACCCAAGCTGGCACTGATTGGCCTCTTTAGAACAAATCCTACATGTAGTATCTTCACTTTAACATCTACTAAAGATTTCAAATGCACATGGTCAAAATTTCCCTTTTCTTCCACTTGAAGCGCCCCAGGTTTCTATTTGCCGATGCAAGAGTTACCACTGACTGTCCATGTCTGAAGCAAAACCCTACACTTGTCTGATTTGCTTATCAGTCTCTTGTCAAACACCCAAGTGGTGCCGTCTCTCATCTCCAGAGAGATTTTATTTCTCTTGGAGATGTTGTGAAACCACAGCCCTTGCTTCCATGCGGCATTCTCTCACAAACAGTTGTCTCCACTAGCTGAATTTGTGGCATACTCATGCAGTGAAGAGATGAGCTCTAGGCACGCACAGGCCTACAGTCCCATCCTGAAGTTCCCACCTTTATGGCTCAAAGCACTGACAACTCCAGCTACACATCTGAGTGTGGGAAGCAAAGGCAGGTGGATCTCTGTCACACCCTGATCTGAATAGAGAGTTCCAGGCCAGGCAGGGCTGCATAGTGAGACCCTATTTCAAAACAACAACAACAACCAACAAAACAACAAAAACCCTCAATGCTTAAGGTCCACTTTCAACAATGGACTCAACAAGTCTGGAAGAAGGTCTAGACACAAGGAGATGGGAGGGTATAAAGTGTCCCGGGCAAGTCGAACTTCTGTTTGCTGGCAATCCCCAGAAGGACTACTGTGTGTGTGCTTCTATTCCATGTTTTAGCCTCTGGATCCCTGAGTTGAGACAAAACTTGACTAAAAACTCAACAAAATTCCTACTTACAAGGAGCCCAACCAAGGTTCTAACTTTTTTTCTGCCCCCCCTATCATATGTGGGTGGTCACCCAAGAATCTGGAGGGGAACACAGTGAGCCAATCATTGGGAAGAGGCGGACCTCGGAATGCAGGCTCAGGCCACAGTAGGCACAAAGGCTTTTCAAGAGCCCAGGCTCTTTAAAGACGATCTTGAAACCAGCACCTTCTGTGCGCCAGCCACGGACGAAGTGTGACAAGTGATACACCATTTTCTTAAACACGCTCCCTGATGGGGCAAGGTAACGGGACCTGGTCTGCAGGATCATCACTGCTGACCCCCTCCGCTGAGACTTGACCCGCAGCCATGGTGCTGCCTTTGACCTCCCGTTCGGTGATCGCGGGCTGCGTGGGGCCGCTACTCACGCGCGCACTGTAGGCCCTTGCGCACGACGCCCCAGATGAAGTCTCCACAGAGGTCGCACCACGTGTGCGTGGCGGGACCCGCAGGCTGGAAGCGGTGGCCGCGACCCGGGACGTGCTGCTGTGACGGATTGCGAGCTGTGCACGGCGCGATGCGCAGAGCGTTGGCACGCTCCAGCCGGGTACGACCAGGGCCGATGCGTCCAGACGGTGCCAGCTCCCGTAGTTCAATGAGTTCTGGCTCCGCCGACATGGCCCGGTCAGACCGGGGATCCAGAGGACTGGGCGCTAGCGGGCGAGGCCGCAGGGCGGGCCGCCACTTCGGCACCGCCCCCAGGATCAAGGCAGGGCGGCGGGAAAGAGCGGCGGAGAACGCAATGGAAACCGAGGCGAGCTGACAGTGTGGACTTGTGGGCGGGGCACGGCACAAGGGTGGACGCTTTCAAAGAGCCCCTTCCCAGGCTTTGCGTCCAATCTTCGCCCCATGTCCCCTCCCCCGCCCCAGCGACGAGGGCAAAGCGCCACACTGATGTGTTTCACGAGGTCCGCTTTACTGTGATAAAGGAAGAGGGTCTCCACATCCGGCCCTTGCTTACGCCCCCCAGCCCTGTCTGCTTGCTGATGCTGACGCCTGGTTCTCTTCTCTACGTATTCGCGGGGTGGGGCAGGAAGTGAAGAGCCTTTGCTAGTCTGTACGTCGACTGGTGGTGGTTTGCAGCTCTACTTGACTCAGCTGTGCTCACCGCCAGGGAAATTGAGGTCTGACAGGGGCCAGGCAGAGTTCCTGAGGCTCAGAGTCACATTCTGGGTGAGCTCTTCCGTCGGCCCTCAGAACCTGCAGCCTTCACTTGGCCCTGTCACCTTGGGCTGCTAGAACACACGTCTTTCCGTGCTTCTCCCAGTGTTTGACTTGGCACTCCCTGCAGGGGTGGTGGGTTGCGTGAGGGTGACAGTGCTTGTGAGAGGACCCAGGGTTGGGGCTTAGGGGTACGGAGGTCCTGGGGTCCCCTTACCTGCAGCAATACCACACACTCTGGCATCTGGAGCAGCGCTTGGAGGCCTCCGCGTTGCAGTAAGCACAGCGGGGCTTCTCTGGGGCTATGGCCTCTAGGACGTCCAGCCTGTAGGTTCCAGCCCACCTGGGGGAGGGGCCAAGAAGATGTGACCGGACCTGACAGGTAGGGGCACAGAAGCCCTCCCGCTATGGCCATGCCCTCTACGTCCCATGCACCTGTCTTCAGCCACGCAGCAGGCCTTACCTCTGTGCCTGCTGGCGCAGATCCCGGTCTGAGGGGCTGAAGACATGCTGCAGCTGGTGCTTGGCAATGGCCTGCCATTTGCCTTTGTTCTCTCGCTCCAGCCGGTCCCAGATTTCTGGGATCTAAGAGAGAGTAAGGGAGAGGAGAGGAAGGAGCTGGCAAAGTGGATCATGGCCCTGAGCAACTAAGGGTCTGGGTGCCTACCTGTTCCAACACCAGGTCTTTCTTAGGGGGCTGGGTTTCAGCCAGGGCCAGGTGAGCCAGGAAAGCCTTCAGGTCAGCAAGGTTGGGCAGCTGGTCCAGTAGTATATCCGTGAGGAAGGCCTGAAGCTGCAAAGGTATCCAGGGAAAGCCATTGTGAAACAGGTCCTGGCCGGAGGGGCAAGAAACAGGGAGTCCCTAAGCTGGGTTGGGGGTACTTGGAGGACGTAGTGGAAAGAGGACAGGGTGAGGCAGGGATGCAGTGGGGGCGGGGCAGGGTGGGGCTGGTGGCAGAAGGGATGGGTAGGGTAGCTGAGTTCCTCACCTTAAGCAGCTGCCCCTTGGCGAAGCTGGTAAGGCAGTATCGGGCTCGGGCCTCAGGGCTGAGCAGCAGATTGTACAGGGCGATCCACACCTGCCCGTCCAGCTTATTTAGTCTCTGCTGCTCTGAGGGGGCCACTGTCTGCCAGCGGCCATTCTCAAACTGCTGCAGCTTGCCTGGGGAGGAGAACTAGCTCACTAGATGCAGACGTTGTATTCTCCAGAGTGTGTGGATGGGGAGATTGAGAACTGTTTCGCATGGTTAGAAGACCCCGGCCACCAGACTTGTCCGAACAAGGTAAGTCCACGGGACTTGTCTGCCTCAGAGTCAAAACTCTAGCCCCATTTTGGGTGAGGTATCCTGGTGTCCTCAGTGTACGGGCTGTCCGGCTGTCCACTTCCATTAACCCCGAGGATCTTCTGGAAGCAGCCAGTTAAGTCCTGGCAGGTGGGAGAGGCCTTACCTCCTTCCCGCCGTCTCCAGGGGCTGTGCTCCAGTAGCTCCACCAGGAGGCAGGGCAAGTTGTGTGTACTGAGCATGCGGTTCAAGGTACTCAGGGAAAGGCTAGAGGTAGGGGTAAGGGGGGTTAGCAGAAGTTACAAGCCGAATACTGCTGCCCTTTACTGCGTGCCCCAGGCGCTGGAGGGTGGCCCACCTGTCCACACAGTCTGTGATGTAGCGAAGCACCGAGAGCGCTTTCAGTGAGATCTCAAACTCCATCGTCTCCGCCTGTTTCTGCAGCTCCTGGTGGGGGGAGCGCAGGCACACAGTGTTCACCCCTGCCTCTGGAGGCCTCACTTCGAGGTTTGGCCCCCTCCAGGAAACCTTAACTTACTTGCATAGGGGTATTATCCTGGGACCGTTCTTCCTCAGATGGGTCACCACAGCCAGTCCGGGCCACCAGCAGTGTCAGCTTGCGGTGGCAATAGTCCACTAAGTCCAGTATCCTGTCATCTGCTGACTCACACACCTCCTGGGGGCAGGGAGGAGACAGTTCAGTATTCGATATTGATGATACTCTTCTCCACAGATCCATCCCACCAGGCTTGGGCCTGCAGAAATGGCCTCTTGACAAGGATGGTGCTTCACCTTATGGAAGAACACTGTTTCTAGAAGATTGATGATGGAGGCCTCATGGTGTACCTGCCAAAGAGAATTAGGGCTGGGCTGTGAGGGAGGAGCAGGGGCTATTAGCTAGCTTTTGTCTTCAGGACCCTGTGAAGGCCCAGCTCACCACCATGTATATGGGGAAGGTATTCTGGGGCTTGAAGTCCTCTAGCCTGCACAGCACCGGGAACACCTTCTGTTTCCACACCTCCACCGCGATCAGCTCTTCTACCAGTGTGGGGATCTGCAAAGGGCAGGGGAGGAAGAGAGATGGCACGGACCTGCCTTGGCATCACAGCTCTCCTGTGCCTGCTTTAGCCCAGCTTGGCTCTCCAACTCTCCTGGGCCCCTAGACCCACCCCTCAGGTTCCGTAAGCACCTGAGAGTCCCTGCTGTACTGTAAGGCCTTCGTTTCCATATCTCTGACAGGATAGCAGCCTCCTTAACTGTGGATAAACTTTACTGTCCCTCTTATACCTTCCCCATCCTCACCAGCTAGGCTTCTCTTTTAGGTCAGCCCTCCTTTTCATGTCCTTACTGTGGTCTTTGTCACCTGGTCTGCCAGGCTGTGTGCTATGGCCTCACTCTTAGGCCCTTTACTGTGCCCTATTCCTAGACCATCCCTGATGTGGGATTCCCCTCTGTATGCTGGGAATGTTTTATTGCCACTGGTTAATAAAGAAGCTGCTTTTTGGCCAATGTTTTTGCTTTAACAGAGTAAAGCCAGGCAGAAAGTACAGAGATATATATAGAGAGAATGTAAGTAGAGTCAGAGAGATGCCATGTAGCTGCTGAAGGAGACAGATGCCCTGAATCTTCCTGGTAAACCACAAGCCTTGTGGCAATACATAAAACAATGGAAATGGGTTAATTTAAGATATAAGAGCTAGCTAGTAATATGCTTAAGCTAATAGGCCAAGCAGTATTTTAATATAGTTTCTGTGTGATTAATTTGGGCCTGGGCAGCCGGGAAACAAATGAACAGTCTCTGTCTACACATCTCCCAGTGCCCAGCTCTGCCTTTTTCTTGCAGGGGAACACCTTTACACACACTAGGGTCACCCCGACCCCTCCTCCCACCAGGCCTGGTCTCTACTTTCTCCTCTTACATAAGAAAGGCTGCTCTTCCCACTTTGAAAGCCCCACTTCCTCTTTAGTGAGGGTCTCCTTTGGCCTCAGTCATTTCAGGGTGATGTGCGTACTTGGGTTCTCCTCCCAGGCAAGTCTAGGACCCACGGCTGTCTCCTTAATTAGCCCTTGTATAGGGTAAAACAGGAAACAGAGCCAAGTATAGTGATGGGCAGGCCTGCAGTCCCAGCACTTGGTAGTCAGAAACAGGAAGTTTGGGAGCTAACAGCAGCCTGGGTCGCGGATCAACACCTTATCTCAAAATAAATGGAAGAAACCTAACACATTTTCCCCAACTTAGGAATGACAGGCATACCAGGCCAGAAGGAGGAACAGGTACCCAGTGTCCCCAAGAGGAAGAGTAGAAAGGCAGAAATTATAATGGTACATTATTTGTGTTTTAATAAATAAAGCTTGACTGGAGATCAAAGTGCAAAGCAGCCACATTAGTAGATACTTTAATCCCAGCAGCCACGCTAGTTAGCCACAGAGGCCCGATGGCGTGGTGCATGCCTTTTATCCCAGCACTAGAGAGGAATATTAAATGGAGGAGACAGGTCTCCTCAGTCTCAGTCTGAGGTTTCCTGGAGGTAGGATCACCCATTTTGGTCTGAGGTAGAGGTAAGTGCCAGGGGCCGTTTTGCTTTTCTGATATTCAGCTTGAACCCCAGTATCTGTCTCTGGGTTTTTATTATTTGAGCTACCTTGACATACCTTCCCATGGGTGACCAGCAGTTCCTGGATGGGCTCCCCCTGGCTGACAGTGGCATCAAGGATGGCTTGCATGTTCAGCTTCTCCAGGTTCTCATGCTGCTGGTTCCACCTGCCCCGAAGGGATGTGTGTATATTGGGTGTACAAATGTGCAACGGGAATGCACAGTGCGGGTGGGGGCTCGACCTACTGGAGCCAGTGTGATCCTGTCCTGAGGCCAGAGGTGTGTCAGAAGCCGCACACTTCTATCTCAAAGGGCTTTGCCTCCCACCTGGAGCCCCCTCCACACTGGGCCACCCCTTCTCCAATGTCAGTTCCAAGCTTCTCCACTAAAGGACCAGGTGACCCCACCTATTGCCGCTGCCTCACCCTTCGGATCCCATCTCCCTTAGCTGGAAGCTGCACAGGCGCCGCACCAACACTTCAGCCTCCCCAGGCAGCAGCAGCTCTAGGTCGCCCATGTCGGGGGGGGGACCAGGATTAGTTTGGCTTTTGGGCGGTTGTAATGCAGGAGTCGGAATAGGGGAAACTGACAGACTTCAGTGGCGGGACCAAAGTCTGGCACAGAACAGTTGCTAAGCCGTTGAGGCGCGTCGATTTCGTCGCCATGGAAACGAGTGAGCTTGGCGCCTGCGTAGAGTCCTTCTGATGCCTCGCTTGCCACGCCCACCTCCCTGCCAATAAGCAGCCGGAGACTGGCCACACCTCTCCAGGGCGGGAGCAATTATGGATAACTTGGGTCCTTACTGTTCCTGCAGCCTCACTGTCTGAGCCTCTCATGGGGTAACTATAGCGGTCTCTCATGAGACCGACGTAACTGCACTCTAGACTCTCCCCGGAAGCTGTCTTTTATTTTTTCGGAGAAAGGGTCTTACTTTGTGATCCAGGCTGGCTTGGAACTCCCTATGCATATTAAATTGGTCTCCAAGCCCTAGAGATCCGCCTCTGCTCAGTCTCTTTGTGCTGAAATCAAAGGCCTGTGTCCCTAGATTCAGTCCAGCAGCCAGGAGTCCTAAACATGCACACCTAACATCTTTTCCTCCGGATGGCCCTGTGCCTACCTCTGGCACCCAAAATGCTAGACCACAGCACTTACCAGCTCTGAAGGACCTATCTTTCACCCCTTCTCCTACCTCCCAGCTTCAGTTTTTGTCCCACCCCCCTCCTAAGTTTATTTTTAAATTATGTTTGTGTCTGTGCACAAGCACACGTGTGTGCAGGTGCCCACGGTGTAAGCCCCTTGAGCCACAGGAGTGGCCAGGCCACTATCCCGAGGAGCTCTGCCAGGTTCCACCCACGGAATACTCTAAGTACCCTAACTGCTGGACCCTGCTCCACCCTACAGAGTAAAAAGCTCAATCTCCGGACATGAATTTCCACCAGTCTCCATCCTGGAAAGTTCCACTCTCTTCCCAAGAAGCTCTATATAAGCCCTATGTCCTGTTCAGTTTGCTGCTGTTTCTCGCTCCAACAGAGGCAGCCGCCCTCTTGGTGCTGGGGAATATTATTTTAAGGTGTGTTGCTTTTGTTTATGCTGCATTTGTTTAACTCTGTGAAGCTGTGATTCTTTGCCTGTCTAAAACACCTGATGGTCTAATAAAGAGCTGAATGGCCAAAAGCGAAGCAGGAGCAAGGATAGGAGAGGCCAGCAGGCAGAGGGTATAAATAGAAGGAAAACCGAGGAAGAAGAGGAGCAAGGAGAGAACAAGGGGAGTACTCCAGGGGCGGGCCAGCCAGCCACCCACCCAACCAGCCATGGGGTAAGAGTGAAAGTAAGAAAAGAAAAAAGCCCAGAGGCAAAAGGTAGATGGGATAATTTAAGAAAAGCTGGCACAAAACAAGCCAAGGCCAGGCATTCACAAGGAAGGAAAAGCCTCCGTGTGGGTTTACTTGAAGCTGGACAGCAGGTCCCCAAAAGAGCAAAGAGCAAGAGTAAAACATCGTACATCCTTTTTTTTTTTTCCTCCCAATAAATCTTGTGTGAGGTTTGTTGTGTGGTGTGACTTTGCGGTATTCCTTGGCTCTCAGCTGCCAGGACACCTTTCCATTCACGCTATAATGCTTACACACAGAGGCCAGAGGCATTGAGACCCTTGGAGTTGGAGTCAGAGGCAATTGTGAGCTGTCCCACATGGGTTTGGGAACTAAACTCCAGTCTTCTGCGGGAACAGTAGTGATTTAACCTCTGAGTCATCTCTCCAGCACCCCATCCTCTTTCTTTGACACAGGGTCTCCTTATACAGTTAAGACCAAGCTGGAGCTCACTGTAGAGCCAGGGCTGGTCCAAATTTTCCCCCTTCTTGGTCAACTTCCCAAATGTTGGGGTTTCAGGTATGCACCCCATGCTTGCTTCCCTGTCCTAGCCTCATGGGCTTCCCTTCAGCTCTTCATACACTCCTTTGGCTTTTTGAGGAAGGTGTCACTATGTCACCCACGCTGGCTTTGAACACATACATCCAACCTGTCCTTGAACTTGAAGCAGCTCTCCTACGTCAGCCTCCTGCGTGTTGGTTATTACAAGAATGCACTACTACATTTGGCCCTTGCTTTAGGGTTTTGAACTTATTTCTTCTGGAATACTCTTCTTACTCCTGCAAGATCCAGCTTACGTCTCCCAAGTGAGGTCTTTCTTGGCAATCTAATCCGGAGCATCTCTTGGTCCCTTCTGAGTCTGGCTCTTTTGGTTTGCAGGTCCAGAGCTGTGGTCATAGCTGAGTTGGTAGAGGACTTGCCTAGCATGCACAAAGCCTCGGCCCCAGCACTGTATACACAGGGGGCGTGGGAGCTTAAGTGTAACCCAGGAACCAGAGACAGGAGACTCAGAAGCTTCACGGTCATCTGTTACACAGCCGATTCCAGGACAGTCTGTGCTACATAAGAACCTGTCTCAAAAAACAAGCTTCTCCCCCAGTCATGGCGAAAATAGGAAACAACAACAAACATATAGAAACCTATGTGTGCCTAAGGTGAAGTGGTGCACACCTTTAAACCCGGCACTCAGAGCTCTATGAGTTGAAGGCCAGCCTGGGCTACATAGTGAACCCCAGGACAGTCAAAGCTACATAGTGAGATCCTGTCTCAAAAAAATCACTCCCCTCGCAATAAGACAAAAACCAAACCAGACCAAACCAAAACCATACTGTTTACTTGGCCATTGCCACTTCTGTCCACTAGATGGCACTCAAGCCAGGCCAGGCTAGCTGGCATGACTAGCACATTCATGCCTTTAGTGATTGGCTGAGCCAGTATTCAAAACTCCACAGGACGAAAGAGATGACTTGATTCACAGAACCGAGGATCACCTCCAGACCATATGCACGAGCCTACTTGTCTGGCCCCCGTGGACCAATGAGGGCGTAGCAGGGGCAAGTGGCCATAGCAATACACTCCAGTCAGCCTCACTTCCAGCAAATGATGATGTTGGGGTCGTTTTCTAGTCGCTCATCCAGTTCGTGGTAGCTCATGCCTGGTGGTATGAGGGAGGCAAGGTCAGCCGCCTTGCAGGCAGGGTCGGTCAGCCCTCCCCTCCCCCAGCCTGCCCTGCCTGCCTCCACCTGTCTTGCAGCAGATCTCATCGTAGCTGTGGCAGCCCGTGTAAAGGCGGGCAGGGTGGCTCCGTTCCTCCCGAGACACTCGAACTGGATACTTCTGTAGTCTCCGGATGAGATTCTTCATAAGCCCAAACTGGATCAGCTTCCTGAAGTGATGGTTAGGGAAGAGCGTTGGTACCCTAGCCTAGCCAACCTTTCCTTCAGTGCCTTACAGGCTAGGGTGGCCTCCAAGGTCACCATCTCCAGGAAGGCTGCCTGGACTAGCGGGCCACATACTTATACTCATTGGGAACCCCCTGCTTCCTATTTGGCTCGAGGCTCCTCTAGAGAGACTCGAGACAGTTGAACCCAGTGCGCATGCCTGAGAATGCCCTCTGACCTCTCATCGACGTGCTGCAACTGCTGGGGGTGGCGGCCAATGAGGTCTCGCACAGTGGTGCCGGGGCTCAGACTGCAGTACAGCTGGAATACGTCTCGGAGACTGGCCCTTTTGTGCCCTGTGGGTGCCATGGTCAGCTTCCTAGGTGGCCTTATCCTCCCCAAATGGGTCTCCCACAGGGTTTTCCACTACCTTGTTTGGTGACGTAGGAGAGACATGCCTCCTGCAGGGACTTGTCATCTACCAGGTCCTGGACTTTTGGAGTCGGGCAGTACACATTGGAGTACTAGAATAGAGCAGGGGCATAAGGACCTGGATGATGTGCTTGGGGGTCTGGCTTGATCTGGTCCAGGCCAAATGGTTCCCATTTACTTAGCTATATCCCAGCCCCACCTACCTGGAGGATGGAGACCAGTGTCACAACACCATAGTACCTGTGGGAAACAGATGAGCTTAGCTTCCAAACCATGCCTTCCCACCGCCACACTTGGGGTCCTTTGGCTCCCCTCCGTCTGGTGGCCCTCTAGTGGTAACAACTGTATCTGCACTCACAGCAGGTTCTGAATGGCAATGCGCACCAGGTTGAGCTCCACGTCCGCCTCAGCAGAGATCTTTTGGACATGGCGGAAGCCATCAATGTAGGGCAGGATCTGAAAAGAGGAAAGCAGGGTCGGCAAGGGTGAGCTGAAGCTAAGGTTGTGGGAGGTCCAAGGTGGTAATACTTGAGAGAGGGCTGTATAGCGTATACCTGCTGTGTGGTGAGGTCCCACTGCGAATTGAAGAAATCCTCTTTGTCTTTGGTAAAGACAGGCACATCATACTCCTGAGCCACAGGAGGGTCAGGCCGCTGCTCAATCACCTTCAAGTGGATGGTGTTGGATTCATCTGCGGGGACCCCACCACATCCTCAGTGTCATCTTTCCCAAGGCACCCTCAGTCACTACTTTAACTCTCCTAGCATTAACTGAGGCAGGCAGACGGGTCCTGGGAGGATCATTCTTCCTCTTTTATGGAGCAAGAAACTAAGGCCCAGAGAAGGGGAAGAATGTTGCCAAGATACTTCTTCAGTAGTGCTGGAGAATTCTGCTGCCTGCTCCTCCACCCCCATTAGACACTGAACCCTCAGACATCACTGTTTCAACCCACGGCTATTTCTTGCCCACCAACTTGTCCAAGAATCCTGTCCTCCTGCAGGGGCTATGCTCATTTCTGCGCTCTCCCATCCTTCCTCCATTCATATACTGCCCCGGAGAGGCTGCCCATACCAATGGGTAGAGTGCACCGGCCAGAGGCATTTAGTTCTTCCAGTAAGATGGCCATGATAGGCACCAACTTCTGCTTGCTCTCCTCTGTGGACACAAAGCTGCTTTCGAGCTGGACAGAACATGGACAACATGGTTGAGTAGGCCTCAGAGCTGGCTGCATTCTGAGCTAGCTGTTGGAGGCTAGGGATTGGAGACATGGGAACAGTTTCCCCAACTGTGCCTGCCATGCACCCACGCCCCATCATGTTGCAGACCTCCAGTGTGGTCAAGTAGCCAGCCAGCTTTTTAACAATGGGTTCAAGGGCACAAGTCTTGGCCTGAGCATCACACACGAAGCCCAAGTTGAAGAGGAGGGCATTGCGGCTGTACTTCTTGTGTTCAATACACACAGGGCAGCCAATCAGCTTCTTCTCCATGGCCGTGCTGGATGGGTAGAGGAGAGTCAGCCCGCCCACAAGCCAGTCTGGGACCCCTCTGCTTCCACCCCACCAGGACCTCACACAGTGATAAGCTTGTTCTGTAACTCAGGCTTGGTGATGATGTACACTTGGACAGTGTCAAACAGCTCTCGGGAGATGAAATCCTCAGGGACCTGCGGAGGGCAGAGATGAGATTCCCTCAGACACTGGGACTGGGTGGTTGTACATCCCACCCAGGCACAAGTCCGCTACTGTTTTCTTTCCCTCGTCTGCCCAGTACTCTTGTGTTTCCAAACACAAGCTATGTTTTGGAAAGCTTCCTGTCTTTTGCATTCATTATTCCCACTGCCTGGAATACTCTACTCTCACCTAACTTTTAGACATCATTTGTGTCTCAGTTCAGTGACTCTCTTGAGTCATTTAACCCTCCATGAGACCGATCACCTCCCTGAATCTTATAGCCTGATCTGCCACAAAAACCGCTTGTGTGGCAAATTTCCCTCCCCTACTAGGAACCAGAGACCTGGGTCTGTGTGTCCTCTCCATTCAAGGAATGGATGGTAAGCCTGGAGGCAGCACAGGGACCCAGGCAGCCAGCTAACCTCCGGAGAGCATCCCTCTCCTCGTCAGGTCCCGGGAGTGTGAAAGGCACCTGATAGGTAATTTTGGGTCCTAGCGTTGGGTGGAATTCGCTGAAGAATATGCATTCGATGCGGCAGCTGCTGCCCATGGCGCTGACCGGTCCTGAGTCTGTAGTCCCTTGTCTTTCGTGCGGTGGTCGCTTCCACCCCTGGGAACACCTGTCAAAAAGAGAAAGAGGCCTGAGCTAGGTCACACAGGTTTGTGAACACAAACCAAAAGCTCCGTCAACTCAACAGCGCCTGCGCAGCGCGCCTCGGAGGCGTGGCAGGCGCTGGATGGGATGGGAGGGGGCTTGTCCCAGGAAGTCTTGGGTGGGTGGACAACGCACCCGGAAGTGAAGCGCCTCCGTAAAGGAGCGGTGGCACGGCTGGCGGGTCCAGGGGATCCAATTTATTTTGGAGGAAGTCACTGCGTCGAACCTGAGAAGCAGGTGAGAAAGGGAAATTCCTACCGTGGAGGTACAGCGTGCTAGGTGCACGTGGGAAGGCAGTGTGCAAAGAGACTCACGCTTAGCTAGGAAAGCAGCTGGGAACTACAATTCCCGTAGTGCTCCACGCCTTCCGCCCCGGCTAGTGATGACGTGCTGCATTTTGGGATTTGTAGTTTTACTTGTCCTCACGCATTCCCACCTGACCGGTGCGATCAGTACCACTTCAAATACAGGTGTTTAGTACTGGGCCAGTGGCGCAATGGATTACGCGTCTGATTACGGATCAGAAGATTCAAATACAGGTGTTTGACAGGTAGACTTTGTTAAGTTGGGACTGTTCTTGGTGCCTACTTTGTTCTGCTCCTGTCCTAACTTCTCCGGAAAAAAGGTGGCATTCCTGCCCTAAATTACTGTCCTCGGTGAGGCGTGGACAGTGGGCACCCTTGCCAACGCCTACGATGCTTTCAGGCTGTACAGCTATCAGCTGGGCTGACCATGGCCCTTTCTGTGGAGACGGAGTCGCACATCTACCGAGCTCTGCGCACTGCCTCTGGGGCTGCAGCCCACCTTGTGGCCTTGGGCTTTACCATCTTTGTGACTGTACTTGCCAGACCTGGCTCCAGTAAGTAGATAGAACTCATAATAGACTTATGGGAGTGAAAAGCCACTTTTCTTGGGGAATAGGGGCAGTAGGAAGTGAAAGGGCTTAACTCGTGGGAACAGGCTTGGCTGGCTGAGGAATATTACTTCCCGGGGAGAGTAGATCGGTGTGGGGGCTCCGCCAGCCTGGCCAGGCTTCAGAAAGTACATGGTTTCTTTTTGACTTGGCATTTCTTTCCTGACTCATGGAGCTGCTGGAGGAAGGAGCTGCCAGAGGAGTGGCAGAGCATGCTACCCCAGGAAGTGAGTAGGGGTGGGTGGCTAACATGAGCTTGTTACGGAGGGATTCACATTTTGGCGTCTCTTTAGATGACGGTGGGCTGTTCACGTTCAGGCTGTAGGGTTGGACATACTGGTTTCTTTTTCCCTCTGCTCCATGAGGCTTCCTCTTCTCATTCCAGGTCTATTCTCCTGGCACCCTGTTCTTATGTCTCTGGCTGTAAGTAGTGGATCTGGGTAACTTTTAGGGGTAGAGTGTGGGCATAGGTGGGGACCCTTGTAATCCTTGAAGGCATATAGTGCCAGCTTAGAGGAGTTGCGTGTTCCAGCTACTGCCTCTGACATATATCTAAGGATTGAAAGATGGCATTCAAGACCAGGACAAATGGGGGACGCTCACCCAAGCACAAAATTAGGCTTCTCTCACCTCCAGCCAGGAAGCTGAAAAATTACATTTGGAGATTGCTCTGTCCCTAAAAACCATAGTTTATGGTGATGCATCTAATTTTCCCTGAAACAGTGCACCCATGTGGACAGCTCTTGGCCGAGAAATTGTATCCAGCCTCATGGGAGGCAAACAAAGCTTGTGAATCATTTATTACTGCCACGTCTCAAACCTTGTTTGCTGGGTAACTTAGCAGAGTTGACATTTCAGAAAAGTACCTAGGAAGAAGTCTGGAGAGGCAGCCATCCCTTAACTACTCAGGGCAGACATTTTGCCCCCCACACAGGGCCTTCCACCAGCTCACCAAATGCAGCATCTTGTCCTTGGGGAAGGAATGAAGGATGGACGGGGCAAAGTGCACCTGCGTGGAGGGTTATCTAAAGTGCATACAGCACTCTCATTTGAGTCTCTGTCTCCTCAGTTCTCCTTCCTGATGACCGAGGCTCTCCTGATGTTTTCTCCGGAGAGTTCACTGCTGCGTTCCCTCTCACGGAAGGTCCGAGCACGCTGCCACTGGGTGCTTCAGCTGCTAGCCCTACTCTGTGCCCTGTTGGGTCTAGGGCTTGTCATCCTCCACAAAGAGCAGCTTGGCAAAGCACACCTGGCCACCCGACATGGGCAGGCAGGGCTGTTAGCTGTGCTGTGGGCAGGTCTGCAGTGCTCAGGGGGCGTGGGGCTGCTCTACCCCAAGTTGCTGCCCCGATGGCCCCTGGCAAAGCTGAAACTCTACCATGCCACTTCTGGGTTGGTGGGCTACCTGCTGGGTAGTGCCAGCCTCCTGCTGGGCATGTGCTCATCCTGGTTTACTGCTGCTGTCACTGGTGGTGCTTGGTACCTGGCTCTGCTGTGCCCTGTCCTCACCAGCTTGGTAATCATGAACCAAGTGAGCAATGCCTACCTATACCGCAAGAGGATCCAACCATGACCTTCCCAGATACCAGGAAGCCTGGATTTGCACCTCAGCATAGGACCTGGGGCTAGAAACCTGCTTGACCCTCTGTCAGGGAACATTCAGGTACTAGGGCACTCGGGTAGATGGGTGACATTTCTGCTCCTGTGCTGGAGTGCCCTCCCTTTTCTTGCTATCAGCTCAGGGGAGCCCGAATCATGTGTCTGATGAAGTTGGGGTTGCAACACTGTCTCCCCAGCCATACAGCTTAGATTTGTATTGGTATGTCCAGAATCACAGATGAAAAAAGTAAAATAAAGAGAAAACTGAAAATAACGAAAAACAAACTGGAAAGACTATGGGAGGAGCAGTGCCACTGGGATGGTTCTCGCTGATGCCATCAACATGAGACTATGGGCAGCAGGTGAGGCGGGGACCCCTGCAAATGGTGGCGTTCTCCCAGAACCCTGCCTCTAAGCTTCCTGCGACACCCACACCCAGTGTGTTAGTAGGCGGCAGGTGCACAGCACAGCTGTTTCCAGCGAAGTCCTGGAGTCTGGGAACATGGTTAGCTCAGTGGAGGGAGGGAGACTGTTTCCACAGGTTTCCTGCACAGGGCACAACTTAGAGTTGAACCAAGGTTAGTTACGGTGGCAGGTGGATCTCTGTGAGTTCAAGACCAACCTGGTCAACGAAGCCAAAGCTATAATAATAGACCCTTTCTTGAAAAAAGAAAGTTGAATCATAAACAAGAAAAACTTTCCTTTTGATTTCAGACAAAGTTTCCCACCTCCCATGTGGGCTTTGAACCTGCTGTGTGGCCAAGGATGATAGCTCAACCTCAGATCCTCCTGCCTCCACTTCTGAGCACTGGGCTAACAGTGTAAGCACACATACCATGTGTATGTGTACCCTCTAACGCGGTGCTGGGACTCAAACCAGAGCTCTGTAAGCACTAAACAAGTGCTCCTACCGACTGAGCGCCACCTTCAGCCTCAGGTTTTTCTTTGAGATAGGGATTATAGGTGTTTGCCACCATGCCCTGCCTAAGACAACTTAAGATGGAGAGGACTTCAGCTGTCAAGTCCTCTTGCACAGGGCCTTCCTAATAGACTGAGGAGATAAAAAAGGAGTAAGGGACTGAGGTAATAGCTCTGACCAGATTGCTTAGTAGCAGGCATGTAGTAGAGAAGAGGTGGGGGCAATGGAATTCTTAGTGAAGTGGAGTTGCCATGGAACTAAGCCCTAGGACCCAGAAAACACATTTAATTTTGCATTTGGTAAGGACGAGAGGGCTGCACAAAGTGGCCTAAAGGAGCCAGGGAGCCACACCTCAAAGAACCGCTTTATTGATACTGTGAGGCTGGGCTTGGCTGCCCGCTCAGGTGGTCCTGTAGAAAATACCTGGGAGCTGTGGTGGCTCTGGCTAGACAGTCACTGCCACAGCAGAAGGGCACAAGAAACCCTGACATGAATGCAGTCTGGGGGTGGGCAGAGATGTACAGACCCATACTGGTTGGGCCCCTAGGACATTTTTGGCAATTTCAAATCCTTGCCTTGGCTCAGGGCTGTTGGCAACCAGTTTTGAATGTGACACTGGCCCGGGAGCTGTGACACCAGTGTCCCTGCAGCCACTTCCTTGGTGAGGAACTGCACCTGCTGAGGTACAGTCTTACCACAAATGGGGGTCTGGACTGGCTGATGCTCAGAGGCCCCATACCTGGCATTGTGGTTGTCTGGAGTTGGAACCAGGTAGCAAGGGTCCCATGTAGTGTTGCTGAGAAACAGCAGAAGGCCAAAGAGACCCCCAGAAGGCCCTCCTCCCCATCCTCAGAGCAGTCAGTGCCCTGGAGTAGCTGGGACGCTACACTCAGTGGTCTGGAGTTACAGTTTTGGAGGAGCTGCCTCAAAGGTAATGAGACTGGATTCTGGGGCAGTCCCCTTCCCTGGGGGTGTGGAAGCTTTTTCTGAGGGCAGAGGACTGTCCTTTTTTGCCCCAGCCTCCTCTTCATCATCATCCATGCTGGGCCAGACAGACTGATCCTCCACTCTCTTCAGCCGCTCATTGAGAGCCTTTAGGGCCAGTTGCCTAAAGCCAGAAAAGAGAAAACAGGTCACACTGGGCTTGGGAGAGGCACATGTTCTGCAACCTTCCTCAGAAGGCCAACTCCTCCCACCAGAGACTGGTCCCCAGAACCCCATGGTTTCCCTTCCTCATGCAGGGTCCAGGAGACTGGCCCAGGATCTGCTTTGCCAATTAGAATGTGGAGCGTCCCCGTCATTGTCAGACCTCCAGGTGAAGGCTGTTGGCTAGAGATGGACCTAGTGCCTCAGGGCAGACAAGTGGAATGTCCTAGTCCCTGGGGATGAGCTCCTGCCTGTGCACAGGTGTCATACCCAGGGACAGGGTCCTTTATTTGTGTGCTATTAAGGATTAAACCTAGGGCTAGCATTCTACCACAGAGCTATATTCCCAGCACTTAAACGAATCATTTTTTAAAGGCAAGTCTTGTTAATGAAATCCTCCATGCTGGCTTCAAGCTAGCTCTTACAGCCCAGGCCGACCTTGAATTCATGATCTTCCTGTCTCAGCCTCCCCAGCAGAGGGGACTATGGGCCTGTCTCACCAGGCTCAGCTAGGGTTAATGAAGCAGCATCAACTTCAATCATTTCACCCTTCCTATGATAATCTTTCTAGAAGTTTCCCAAAGCCATCCAAGTCTTAGCAGAGCCCACATAGAAGAGAAACAGCCCATGTGGGCATGCACAGGGCACACCCTATTGTTCTCAGGGGGCAGACTTGGTGAGAAAATACACCTGGGAATTTTATGTAGACACCCAGAAAGACTCAAGCTGTAGGGCCCAGAACTAGCCTGCAGCATGCTTTGGGTGCTTTTCCACACCTTGGACACCAGCAGGGAACTCCTTCAAGGAGGATGTGCCCTACTCACTGAGCAACACAGCCTCAGTGAAGAACAAGGTCCCAAGTCTTCCGCAGTCTGGCCCACAGAAGGTCAAGTGGCCACTTGTAGCTGGTCACTATGGATCCTGGTGGCTCAGCCTATTTACCACTAAAGGCAGCCATTCTATGGCTTCCAAGATCAAAGAGTCTACCATGCCAAGGAAAAAGATAGGAAAAGCAACAGGGACAAGGGCATTAAAAACCCAACACACTCCAACCTGGCCCAGTAACACTCCTTCTCTGTCACTCCCCAGACTACTCTTGGAGATGTCCTTGCCAGTATTCAATTTCCTACTTCCTGCTTGTAGTCCTTTGGGTCTGAGAGTGGCATACAGTCAGAGGACAAATTGTAAGAGTAATACCCACTCCATGTAAGCCAAGAACCATCAGACTATGCCAGGAACCTCCTCTTGCCCCAATCCCCACTCTTCCTTTTCTGTCCATTTTCTTGATCCTAGATAGTGGTTTTTTGGTTTTCTTTTTTTTTTTTTAAAAAAAAAAAGATTTTATTTATTTATTATGTATACATCATTCTGCCTCCATGTATGTCTGCATGCCAGAAGAGGGCGCCAGATCTCATTACAGGTGGTTGTGAGCCACCATATGGTTGCTGGGAATTGAACTCAGGACCTCTGGAAGAGCAGCCAGTGCTTTTAACCACTGAGCCATCTCTCCAGCCCGATAGTGGTTTTTTGAATGACCAGTCAACCACAGCAACTCAAGACCTCTCCCTGGGGCAAGGGTAACCTCTGGTCCAGGCCCATCCAAACAGCTCGAAAGCTCACTCTTCCTCTACTAAATGAGGTCAAAATGGAATTGAAGTTAGGACACCCCCAAAAACTCTCAAGCTCTAAAGCCCAGAATTAGGCCTGCAGCATGCCCGGGTGTGTTCCCTCACCTAATGCTGGTAACTCCCTCAAGGAAGTCACGGTCTACACTCGACTACACAGCAGCAGCAGGAGTGAATAAGCCTGAGAGCATTCCTCCACTGAAGTCAGGAACCCGCTTTGCAGCTGAGCAAAGGCAGGAACCTCTGACAAAGGCTGAGCAGCAGGCTTGGGAGACAGGGCCTGAAAAGTCTCAAAAATAACACTGGACACTATAAAGAGTCCATAGGTCTGAGGGAATAAAAGCTTTCCCCTGCTTTGACTACAGTGTCCAGTGAATAACGCCGTGAAATTACTGATGCTGCAGACACTCTGGGTTGGAGGGCTCAGCCCTGCCTGCTGTGGTCAGCAGGTTCCACAGTGGTCATTCAGCCTGTCCCCATGTTTGGTGACACATGCCTGAAAGAGGAGCAAGTTTAGTAATACCCAATCATCCTACGGTAAGTGGAAGGAAACACTTGAGGACACAGACATTGCTCCCCTCCCCATCACAGGAGAAAGGGACCAACAGTCTCTATCTCCTACAGGACCAGTGTCTAGAATCTGGAAATTCTGAGGCCAGACCAAAGGTGACTGGGCAGTCTGTAAACTGGTTAAGTGGCCAAGTGGTGAGAAACACACACTAGAGCCCTGAAGCCTACACACTGAGTTCCTTCCTCAAGGCCCAATCCCAAATCCGCTCTGAGGCTGCCTCCAACTCCAGGCTGTAGGTCTCCTGCCTGTGTAGAGCAAGCTCCTCAATGGATGGCCTGTGATCACAGTCTAGCTAGCCAAGATTCTGGAAGATTCCCAGTTACCTTCTCCGCTCGGCGTCTTGAGGGTCTGTGCCTGGGAGGCTGATAGTGATGGATGATGGGGCTCCCACATCATAGCGCTTCACCGTCTTCTGGCATACCTTGACTTTCACCAGGAGGCCATGCACCAGGTTCGCTAGCAGCCCCACCACAGGCTGCAGGATCTCCGGGAAGAAGGTGGCAAAAGCAAAATGGTCAGCCATGTCCCCTCGGCCCCGGCTATGGCGCTGATAGAAGCGAAGATACACCCAACTGGACAGCAGTCCAAAGCCGTAGGAAGCCAGGGCCGGGCTCTGGAGCAGCGTGGCCAGCCGGAGCAGCAGCAGCAAAGCCAGCAACAGCATGGGAACTACGCTGACGCGGACCTGGGGCACTCGCAGGACCACACAGTCTCCCATAGTTTGCTTGAGTGCCACCAGGACACCACCTAGGAAACCCAGGGCGCCATGGATACGAACAGTGAACAGGTAGACCAAGTTAAAAGAAGCCATGTAGGTGAGGAGGTAGGCGAAGGCCCCCAGAAGCCCCACGGACACATTCACCACCGAGAAGAAGATGAGCAGCTCCAAGGCTCCCCAGAGGGGCTCCAGTAATCGCCCGGCCACCACTACTGTGGCCAGACTGATGGCCACGTCCCACACGTGCTGTTCCATCAGCCCATGGGTGGCCAGGGTCCAGATCCAGAAGTTGGGTGGGAAAAGGTAGCCCGGGGTGACCGCCAGGCAGTCCGTGTCCACGGCGAAGGAAAGGAGATAGAGGAACAGTACCACGGCGCATAGCGCCTTCACCACCACGCTGGCGCTGGCCAGGATGGCCCCCAGATGCTGGCGGGCACCGGGGAGGGCGCGTTGCATTTTCCCGGCGGACGTAGACTTGAGGGAAGGTGAGGAAGGTGGCCTAGGGGCCTCCCCGGGGCCTCGTCCCAGTTCGGCCCCGACGGGAGGCCCAGGCCCGGCTACTCACTGCTCTCTGGGAAGGCTCTGGTTCCGGTCTGGTCCGGCTGTAGCTCCAAGAGGAAGAGAAAGCCTTGCTGCCAGGCCAGAGCCTATGCCCCTGGCCGAGGACCTGAGGTTAGGCCCTGAGCGGCTTGGGCACGCCTGCTGGCCGGTTCCGTAGGCCCAGCGGCCAGGCTGACCGGGCTAGCGTTGATCTCAAGGCTGGACGTCCTCCATCCACTGTGAGGCTCTGCGGGGTACTGGTGTCTTGTTCCGGCCCAAGTCAAGACCGTTTAGCTCCTTCTGGGATAGGGTTCTGACTTGACGGTACCTCCTCCCTTCTCCGGGGCCGACAAACAGGGACGCCGCGCCTGCGCGCCCCCGGCGGCCGCCTCGGCCCTGTGCCCTCTGAGCGCTTGCCTTCCGGCTCCTCGGCATGCTGGGATACGGAGTCCGTACACAGAGCCGACCGGTTTCCGCATAGAACCACAAGTCCCAGAAGCCCGACCGGTCCCGTAGAGGGTTAGGCGGGGGTGCTTG